ATAAGGTTCGAGTACTAAGATTAATTCAATGAGTTTGAAATAAAAATAAGCTTCAAATGATCTTATTATGTATCATTTATTTTAATAATTATTGTTGGATTATTATCTGAATTAGCTTGGTGTCTCCGATCCAAATTAGTCAAAAATAATGATCATTAATTATATTTTATTTAAAAATTAAATTATGAATTCATAGAGATATCACTAACATAGATTCCACATAAGGTATTGTTGGATTAAGCAAGATTTAACTTAGACATTATGTTTGTTTCCTTTCTAACTGATGAGGATAATAATTACGATAAGACTCGGGTAACGTCAGTTGGCCCAAATGACGCCACACAGCACTGGGTCAACACAGACCAGAACGTCGACCGAGGCACATTAATACCCTACTCAGGCTCGATCCCTCACGCCACGTCAATGTCGGTGTCAGACGCTACCAGGAGTACGATCCTGCTCCCTGCCAGCGGGCACATCAGGCAACGGTAACCTTCTCTATAAATACCCTCACGTTCATCAGGTAAAAGGAAAAAAAAGGAAGAGAGGCACACAAGAAGAGACAACTTAGCCAAAGAACTCCCCTGCCACTATCTGCTAACTTGATCGTCGGAGGGATCGAGTCGAGCTTTCCGACCCGACCTATGTACAGGTGTGAAGACGGTGGCCTCCCACTAAACACCCAAGCGAGGAGCCCCCTCCTGAAGGGAACGACAATCCCTTTCCGATCGGACCATCGCAGCCGGCCACCTCAGCGAACTCAAAAGTCGTCCTGAGAAGATCCCCCATGCCACGGCTTAAAGTTGGTTACACCACCACTAACCATTTCAAAGGTATCTCAATTCAATGTCTATTTGATCCAATTCTTGTGGTAATAGCGATCCAAATTATTGTCTCGAAGAACTCATAGATTCCGACATCCGATTCAACTTGCAAGGATGATATCTAAGTTTTAGAGAAAGAGACGGACTATATCCTATCCCAAAACCAAAAGAAAGAGATGGCCTTAGTTCCAATTGCCAAGTATTAGAAGCATAAAAGAGACACCCCAAAGGGTAAGTGGCAGTCATTTTCCTGCAACCAAAGTCGTCATTCTACAGGAACAGTCCATTTCTGATTCCAAGACACACTGTTTACCTATTTGTGGATGGAAGATGTTTTGTTTGCATTTATTTCAAGTGGGTGCAGTTCATTTTATTCCATTTATTTCAAGGAACAAGATAATAAGGAACTTGAGTTTTCTAATAGCAGCTTCATTAGTAACTCAAATCTATGCTCATTCCAATCAAATTATTCATACTACTTCATGACACATTTTTCATTAAAAAATCTTAATTTGTTTGGTTCAAATTTATCATAAACATAAATTTTTTAATTAACAATTAATTTTCTTCACTTTCAAGCATGTCTTTCTTTCATGTTAGTGATCAGAGATTTACTCTCTATTACAATAATGAATCTTATTATTATTATTATTATTATTATTATTATTATTATTATCTCAACCTAATAATCTAATCGATGTCTACTAATTTTGACTAGTTTGACTTACATTCATCATTATTTTATTTTTTTATAAATAATAATATTTTTATTTTTTATTTGAGCTAATATCTAATTATTTCATAAAATATTTTTTAGTAATTTCACATATTTATCTCAAAATGTTTATTTTGTATCATTTATGTCATGCTTTTCCCCCTAACTTGACAATGAAGCATTGATATGTGGGCTCGAGTGTGATAAGGGAGGCTTTAAGCAACATGAGATCTCACACATCACTCATCAAACCGGACATTGACATACCTACAAACTTCACAGATGGAAGAGAAGGGATGTGAGGCTTCCCTTCAAAGCTCAGCAAGAATCACTTTTCAGTAGAATGAACGGTTGTGAGAGACCCTACAAGAACTTGCCTCCATGAGTCCCTCTCCCATCAAACCTTATCCATCATCACCTTCCATGACCTGAAAGGACTTGGATTCTTGTGGCCCGGGGAAGGCACACACCTACACTCCAATCCACCTTCCCCTTTGGGGATAATATTTTGGTATGTTCTGGCTTGGAGACCCACCATGACTCTTCTAACACGACTCTCTTTAATCATAATTCGGATGAATAATATTTTCATACATAATTTTCTTGAGTTAAAAGAGAAAATTATTATATTTTTTATAAGATCATTTAGTTTCACATTAATTAAGGAGTATGGGAACGAATGACTCATAAGTCCATTAATTCTTTTTTACCATTAAAATTACTTTTTAAAACTTACATAGGATAAAATCGAGTATATTTAAAATGGAGAATTCTTCATGAGTTTAACCTTAATTTTTATAATATATTTTATAATATATTATTAAGCTTTGATGGCTTCCCATATATCTTAAAATCTATATGAAATTTCTATTCAGTTGATCACAAGGCTGGTGAATATATATATCGGGATTTATATCGGCCAATGCATCACGTTATTGTCTGCTACGAACTGTTCAACGATAACAATCCGTTATTATATTTTGGTAGCAGCAGCGGTCTGCGTAGTACGAAAACGTCGTCCTATTCTGTTCCGTGTCAAACCGTCCCGATTGGTTCCGTTATCTTCTCCCCCTTTCGCTGCTTCCTCCTCCTCCCTCGCTCTCTCTCTCTCTCTCTTAAGATAACACGAATCGTGGCCCCTCCCCATCTCTCCTCCATTCTCTCTTCTTAGACGCGTCGCCTGCTTCCCGTTAGGGCTTTGGGCGATCGATGGATTCCTCGGCCGGAAAGACGAAGCCGAGGGAGACATGCGAGCTCTGCGGCGGCGCCGCGGCGGTCCACTGCGAGGCTGACGCGGCGTCGCTCTGCTGGGACTGCGACGCTCGCGTCCACGGCGCCAATTTCCTTGTCGCTCGCCACCTCCGCCGTATCGCCTGCGCTGGATGCCACTCCCTGGACGACGATCGGGTCATCTCCGGCGCCGGATCCCCCCCGGTCCGCTCGATCTGCCGCTCCTGCGGCCCCGACGGATCCGAGCTGTCCTCCTCCGCGTCGTCGCCGGTGACGTCCTGCGTCTCGACCGCCGAGTCGAAGGCGTCGCAGGAGGAGGGGGCCACCACCTCGAGAGTCGGATGCGGCGGAGACCGGCGGTGGGCGCGAAGGCGACGGTCGTGTCGGTAAACTGGCGCGCGAGTGCAGTAGTCGGGGTGGCAGTGCACGTGCCGGGGGGTGTGCGAAACTAGAGTGGCGGATTTGCCCTCTTCGGGTTTCGACGCGACGCCGTGTCAGGGAAGCGGTGGCTGAGAGGGCCCGACCCGTGTTCCGTTGCATGGTCGAGGGTGCACACTACATGATTCGACAAATAACTCTACGCTGTTGCCACGATCACACGTGTGAGTTGGTTTTGTTTCGCACGATTCGGTTGTAGTCGTCCTTCGCATTAGAATTTCATTTTCCTTGCGGCTTTAATCTGTTTAAACTTATTAATTATTTTTACTACCACAACAACAAAACATTATTTGACATCAAATTTTCTATCATCGAATTCGGTTAAAAAACATATTTTTAATTTATTATTTTTAAATTAATTAAATTGATTTCATTTACTAAATAATATTATAGCTAATTGGTCATTGGAAAGTATTTGGTTAAAAATTATATAAAATTCGAGTTTATTTGCCTCAATCAATTAAATGCACAGAAATAGCCAATTTATGTGCTAAAATAAATGGCCCACACGACCCGAAATATAATTTGCATACGGAAAAGCCGTAAACCGTCGGCCCATCAAGCCCTATTTTGGTGGCTAAGGTACCGTTCGATGGCCGCATTGTTTCGTATTCTACGGCCCCGATTCGATGCCCGCAGTGGTCCCATGCAAGGCCGACGACGTCCCCTGCTATCATCTTCCCTCTCTCCCTCGTTCTCGACTTGGTGCCCCAAAATTCTAGGGTTTCTCTCAGGGACTGAGAACTCCGGGGTTCTTCCATCCGGGTCTCCGATGGCCTCCTATGGAATCCGATCTGAACTTGTTCATCTTCCGTGTTCCTTCTTCCGTTGGACCCGACCGATTCCGGACATCGTCTAGATACCGTAACGTCTTCTTATACAGTTTTCTCGTATTTGATCTCAATCTTCTGTAGTTGAGCGAGAGGGAATGAGTGGAAAACCTAACCACATGTCGGATTTGAGGACGGCTGCGGCCCATCCGCTGGCCTCAGGCACCGGGGAGGGCCACATGATCGCGGCTGCCGACGCCAGGGCGATCCAGGGGTACGGGCACGATAAGGATAGTGGTGGCGGTTGCGACGGTATGGAAGAGGCCGTCGACGGGGAGGGAGTGGAGGGCGACGCGCCAGCCGATCATGGCGATTTGGGGAATCCACACGCTTTGGTTGTGCCTCCGGTTGCTAGCAATCAGCTCACCCTCTCGTTCCATAGGGAGGTTTACGTGTTCGATTCAGTCTCCCCTGAAAAGGTGATATTTTGCTTGCTGTTTTCTGTTTATTTGCAAAAGGAGGTGTCTGTCTTGAGTGGTAATGAACTTGCTTATCCTATAGGTTCAAGCTGTGCTTTTGTTATTGGGAGGACGTGAAATTGCCACTAGCACGGCTTCGATTGAATCAGCTACCAACCCACTGGATAAGGTGCTTCTTAGACTAAAAGTTCTTTAATGGGTTGGTAAATAGACTTGGGATATGCTTAATTTTTGTAGCTTGGTCTTTTGGTGCTTTACAGCGATTGAACTTCCCACACAGAGTTGCTTCACTGATGAGGTTTAAAGAGAAGAGGAAAGAGCGCAATTTTGACAAAAAGATACGATATGCTGTTCGGAAAGAAGTTGCTCTCAGGTAAGAGGTGATTTTTTTTTTTCTATTAGATCTTTTGGCAGTCATTTTTGTTTCTTTGCCTTCAACAGATAATATGTTCTCTGAGTTACTTTTGAGAATGTACAGTTTGATGGTTCTGTGCAATGCAGTATACATGTTGCATAGGTCTTGTTTGTACTATTCCATATTAAATTCATGACTTTGGCTTTTGGTTCTTGTATTTGCTGCCTGCTTTAGTATATGGGGCTTATTGTTACTGTCAATTTGCATATTCACAGGATGCAGCGGAACAGGGGTCAGTTTACAACTTCAAAATCAAATCCTGACGTTGCAACTTTGGGTGCCACAAATTGTGAGGGAACCCAATGTTGGGGTACAATTGAAGGTCGACCACCTTCAGCTGCTCTGTATGTTCCTATAACTTTATTACTTATGGCTATTAAGAAATTCATAAGTCTAACTTACTAATTAACTGCAAGGATACTGTGCAACCTTCCAGTTTATCGGTTTGCTATATAGTTGTATAACTATTAGCACCATGGAATATAATTTGGAAAAAAAAGATTTTTTTATTTTCTTTCAAATTTTTAGCACATTAACTTATTATTTTATATTCTCTTATAGATAACCTCATATATTGTCTTCAAGACATTTTACTAATTAATTACAAGCTACATGTTCTTCTATTACTTTATCCAGGATGTTCTTTTTTTGAATTTGTGAACCATGGATTCTTATAATTTAGGTTCTAACATACAATATGATGCTTAAGATTTTGCTACTATTGTTTCATTGGAAACTTTCAGTTGCCATCACTGTGGCATCAACTCAAAATCTACACCAATGATGCGTCGTGGACCTGATGGACCAAGGACCCTATGCAATGCTTGTGGACTTATGTGGGCAAATAAGGTAGTTATTAATATGTGCTACGGAAATCTGTAAATGTGCAATGCTTGTGAACTTGTCTGATATCTGTAGGAGTTAAAATTGTCGACCTACTAGCTATCTCTGCATGTGAGAATGTTGACATAACATGTATGCCACATATTCCAACGCCACTTATCATGTTTTCAGTGCATGTCACTGGCACACTGTGCCACTGCATGTAATATTGCCATCTTGCTAGTGCACTGCATGAAATGATGCACTCTGTAAATTATCTGAATTGTGAACATTCTGACTACACTGGCAAATGACAAACACAGTCTCATTTTTCTCATTAGCTATATGGTTACAATCATATGATTCTTAGGTTTTCCTTTTGTGTCTCCTTCATTTACCAATTATTACAGTCACTAGCTTGCTTAAACTCTTTTTCTTCTTTTGAGGTTGACAGTTTGGCATAATTGATAAAAATCAGTAGCTGAGTTTGGTTGTTTCTAGCCAGTTTCTGTGAATTTGTATTGAATTTTAATGATAAGGAAAGTTGGTCAAATTCTGATAGCCCCTAGCTGATGCCATCTTGGATCAGGTGATCCATAATGAAACCTGCTGATATAGCAAACTATAGTCCCACCACTACTACGTCCCCCAGAGTATTTCTATTCCGTTGTTTCCAGTGGGCATCATCCTGCTCTCGTCCTCCCACCATTTTAGTGGTGACATATCAGAGTCCAGAGTGCCAAATTGGAGCTTCGTATCACAGTTAGATTGGACATGCATCACATATTCCTCAATCCAGTGGATGTTAGGATGTTGTTGAATCAGATTTTTGAAGCATCAGGTTGATGTGGGTTAGATTGTTCCAATTTCCTCTGATCTGTTTACAGGCCTTGTGATGAGTATGGGGAATGATTTGTATTGTTGGATCTTTATTGTGCTCTTTGGGTCTATGTTTTTCTCATGTGTGATCATAGTTTATTTTTTCTGTGAAGTGATAGAATAAAATTCCATTGTGTTGACTGCAAAGATGCATGTCACTAAAAGCATGTACCTAGCTCTGTGAAGAATTGTTATTTGTCATCTATTAAGTATTAACATCTAAATTTTTTTTATCTTTTTATGCTATTTGGGGTTATGCAGGGTACATTGAGGGACCTCTCTAAAAATCCATCATTGCTAACACAAAGTGACCCTTTAGAAGGAAGTGAAATGGTAAGTTTGATTTTCAGCCAACAAGCTTTCCTTGTTTGAATCAGGAAAGAAAAAAGCACAAAAAAGGTTACTTGATTGACTTTGGCTCTTTCTGGATGCTTCTGCAACTGCCATCACAATTTTGTGGGAGCTACATGCACTGAGTGATTTCAGCAGAATGAGTTGGAACTCATTTACTATTAAAATCTTTCATTTTTTATTATCATTCATTTCAGCTTCGTTCTGCCTTTTATGTATTTGCTCTCATGACTGTTTTTTGTTTCTCCCCAGAATGGAGCCTCTGCACCTGTAGCTGAGGAACTGCTGCCACATGCTGATGCTGCCAATGACCATCACTCATCATCCTTATAAGAAAAATCCTGGTTGGAAAGATAAATAATAATAGGGGAACTCTGTACTTTTTTGTGATCTTAGAAAGTACCATACTTTTGCCTGTATTATAGCTTCTGATGTTGTTTATCTCATGTTGATGATTAAGGAAAATTTGACATTTGTTATGTGCTCACCTGCCGAACAACTCTCTGCCACTTGCATCCTGAAATTGCAGCAGCAACTGATGACCAGAATGGCGTTTGTTTGTTCTCTACTGCAACCATCATTTCGTTCATTGGTTTTCCTTTCCAACTGTTTTTCTTTCTGGCATGTTTATACTTTTATGACTATTTGAGTAGCTTCTTTTTGATATATATTTTACTAATCAACTTATTTTGCTAACGTTTCATAACAGCATAAATTATCAAAAAGAAGCCGGCAGAACAACAAAGAGATTATATTTGACTTGGTCTTGTTCAAACGTTAAAGTTGAAAATCATGAAAGTAAGGATCATGCCTCTCTGAAGAGGCAGGTTACCCTTAACACATGATGCTACATGGAGCTTTCTAACTGTACTCTTGTGCAGCATATTTACGGAACAGTATATTACCAGTGGGCAGCAGACTTTCTTCGAGTCTCTTTTGTGTATGTATGTATCACAGGAAAATTGCTTACATAAGTCAGGAACATCTGGAAAGATTAAATTGTATTGTCGATAATAAGATTAGGCCCTGAACTGGGAGTGGTGCACACAAATATCAAATTGCTATAGGTTTTACCAGACTGACAAGTTTACTCCTCTGTGTATGAGTTGTGTATCAATGTATTGACTGCTACTGATAGCCTAGCAACTGCAGGGCATACTCTCATTCTCCATCCACCTATAGGTATGTTCATCTCATATGTTCTCGAATAAGATTTGTCAAATTTCTATATGTAATTCTTTTAAAATTCAGAATTCTAACTGGCTTTATTAAGCCGCTCAAGTTTGCATGAATACCTGTACTAGGGTGATAATTTGATAATGTGACTACGGTGATGAATGTGAGACAACATGTTTGCCCCTCATGGAAGATGATTAGCTACTCCGGATTACGCTAGTTATGGTGCTTGGCAATTGGGATGACCAAGATGTATGTGTCATGCAGATGGATAGCAAGCATGTACTAGTCCTGATTCAATTATGATGCTCAACCTTGGTCTGAGCCAGAGTATCAATTTGGTTTTTATTCAAGTCCTTTGGGTTGATTTAGGTTCCATTTTGTTTGTTGATCCAAACTAACCCCTACTTGATTCCATACTCTTTCTTTGTACTTCTTACTCTATGAGAAACTGCATCCAGATTTGCTTGCTTTTGGTATATCAGGAACTAGACAAATTATCTACAAAAATACTCCACATTTGGTATGATGATTTTTCTTCTTTCAGAATGTCAAGGGTTTCTATTGTTAATTATGTAACATCTCTCTCTCTCTCTCTCTCTCTCTCTCTCTCTCTCTTACTGTTTTGTTTTAGTTGTTGGATATAGAAACCAATAATGAGATGGCTGAGCACCTATTTGACTATGGTAGACTCACATGCCCAAGGATCTAATACCATCAGCAGCTCACATCCTTCTGACAAAAGAACATTATTTTTCTCAAGGAAAAAAAAAATAAAGAATCAAATATCTGAATGGACTCTAAGTTGTATATTTTTACTACAAGGTTCAAAGCTCTCTCTCCTTGTTTTCTGGCAACAGGAATGTGGAATAAGGATGCTATACTTTTCCATGGTTGAAGACTCGAGCAAGTCTCAGTTGCTGCAGTTTGAGGTTGGAGAAGACCATTAAAGAAATATGGAGTCTCATCAAACAGGTAAAATGTGAATTGTTTCTGTAGATGAACATGGTATTTGACCATAGAAAATTCCTCAGCTGAACATTCGTTGCATAGAGCAGCACCAAATGCTTCAGAACATTATGCCAAAAAACCTATGCAGTTAATCCCATGTAAAAGGACAATGCAGGCATGACATCTTGGTCTAAGTCTTGAACCCATAGACAACCACAGTACACAAACCCAACAAGAGTACACCATATCTTGATAGGAGTGATGGGTTTAATGCTGACAAAGAGAATCTATGTGAGTGAGCTTCAAAAGGAGAGCCCCAGAGAGAGAGAGAGCATGCGCAATCCTTCAATGGGAGGAGGGGGGGGACCCTTCCTGAGTACCCTAGGTGGAATTCTTGGAGCTTGGGTTCATCCTCTTGGCATTTAGCTACATTCCTAGTATCCTAAGCAGATTTGTCCCCCATGCCATTTATCCATCAAGACACAGTGTCTTCTCTCATATGCTTGTTTCCATTACAAGCACACCTCAGCGTACAGCCCACCCCCTCTCCCAATCTCATCTCCTTTCTCCATCACTCCCCTCCCGGGTCTCTTGTCTTTGTTCTGTGACACTGCCTTTTGTGCTTCTCAAGGGAGCAGAGCTAGAAAACATTCCTTCTCTCATTCCCCTTGGTCTCTCCCCCAGTAAGTGCAGAGAGCCCAAGGCAGAGGACATGAATGTGTGATAGGTACTATGCTTTTCCTTTTTCTGACTTATGTCCCTCCCTCCCATGACATATTATTCTCGTGCCATGCATTTTACATTCTGTTCCGTGGGACGAAAATTATGCCCCATTGTGTTGTTTCTGTGTCAAGCCTCCGCTGGAGTTTGCTCCACTTTCTGGATTTCATTTGCCACAGTGAGAGCTCGACTTACACTCAATCCTCACTCAACGAAAGCTATTCGATCAAGCATTCGAATCGAGTCTTTCTCTTCCTGCCTTGTAAGCTCACACTGCCCGATGGCTTCCTACCATCCTCTGCAAGAATCCTCCCTCACCCGAGCATATACTGTGGCCTGTGGCTGTCGGCAAGCTAATCTGATTGCAATTCTTTGTACCCGATGACTCCCCTTTCAGCTCAGTATCATTTCAAAGGCTCTGCAATATGTCTACAGCAACCACAGCATCTACTCTGCTCGTGGCCCAACATGTCAGTGCAAACGCAGCACCAACCATTTGAGCTGCCAAGCTACATTTCTCACCGAAAATGAGCCTCATGTAGCTTCTGCACCGCTTCACATCAGACCCAGCAGCAGCATTGAAGGAGATGCCAGTGATCACGACTTCCAAGCACCGGTAGTAAGCTGGCTCTAATCAAGAGGGCCAAATGTGACTTAGATACTATTATTCTCTTCACATTCTTATCTTACCAAGCATTCTCATGGTGGCAAAAAATTCTAACATCGATGGAGTCTTGACATTAATTACACTGATAGATACAGTGTCATTGTTATGATCATGTCAGCTTTGTCTTGTTGCTATTCTTTCAGTGGCAAGCTCTTCATCGCTGCAATTTAAATGTCAGGTTGTGGACTTTGCCGAATCATGTGGCTCATTGATGGGTCTATTCCAAGGGGAGCCTAAGCAGAGGTGCTTCTGTTTTGTATGAGAAAGAGGAAGGGAGCAAGTCTGTCATATGTTGCTGAGAGACAAAAAAAAAAGGAGTCGTCTCAGAAAGGCAGCTGCAATATTTAGGCCTTTCTTTCTCAAAGGCATGCTTTTACCCATGCACTATCGCTCTCCTGCTCCACTTTATTCTTGTGTACCAGCCACCCTCTCCCCCCCTACTTCTCTAGCCCCAGATTGATTGCTTTCCCAAGCTGTTCCAGCAGAGATTTAGAGAGTCAGTGATCATCAGCACACTCGCAATCATATGAGAGCTGCTGCTTTATTGTGAGCGAGTGTCTTGGGTTCTTCTGCACGCCACACACACACAGCTAGATAGATATGAGAAAGAAAAGCTCAAGAAAGAAATCCATGTTCCTTCCTTTTACTAGGACAATAGATGCTTTTTCATCTTCAAATATCATTACAGCATACAAGATTTACATAGTAAGAAAGATATGATCCGGCACAGTCTATGTTCAGTCTAAACAATAGAAAGTGATCACAAGTTCTTTCGAAAAGAACAGTTTCAGGATCATGTTTATCTCTAATCAGATAAGCTCAACCTTTTCGTTTAGCTTACAAGTACCTATGATGAGCCTGATTTGACTACTTCAAAAGCTTGTACTAATTAGCTTTTTTTCCCTCATTGAACAGTAATGGATATATGCTTTGCTTTAGACGTCAGTAGAGAGTGCATCTGAGTTTGCACTTTTAAGTTTCATTCAATTGCTTTATTCATTGCCGCAGCTCACTCGCTTGACCTGAAAGGTTGCTGCAACTAATCCTATTACTTTCTGAACATGACAAAAAGGTTACTGCATCCTAAAGTTTCACCCATTCACATAAATCCTCAGCTCCTCCGAGGCCATAAAGAAGTACCTTTCTTGTGGATTGGGGAAATTTCTTGATCTGCTTACTGGTTTTTCCACCGAGTATTCTGACATTGACATTCTACACTGAGACATGGCTTTCAGTTTTTTCCATGATATGTTCCTTTTTCTTTCCCCTTCTTATGCTACACAAATGCTACATGAGAACTCTGTAAACATGATATGTTCCTTTTTCACATGGATTTTTGCTTACCCAGTCGATGCGAATGTTGGAAAAACGAAGAACCAAGATCAACACATTCTGAAAGCACTGCATCTTGTTACTAAAAATCAGCTCTAAATCAATCTGCAATATTGTTGTTTCAGGCAAATGATGAGTCTGAAAAGCATGTTGCATGGTTATCATAAACATCAGAATGAGTGTGATCGATCAAGAACTGGAATCAACTGCAAAAGAAGCACAGCAATCTATCATCTCACACACTGCTAGTGAAGAACAAAGCAGAAAATTCCAACATCAGCTGTAACTTCAAGCATACATATATATATATACATACATATATAACCTTCCAAAAAGAAGCAGCATAAGTTAAAGCAGTCCAACATCATCTCCCTCTTCTGCTCCTTTTGTCTAATTTCTAATGCGTTACTGCCAATTCACACCCATGAGGAAGAGGGCAGCCACCATCCGTGCCCGTACTGGGGCCCTCGATCAGTACCATCACCATGAACTCTTGAGGAAAGGAGAAAAGAAGAAGGTATGGGAGAGGGGAGGGGGCTCTTTCACGGCTTCCAAAGCAGTCTGAGCTCAAGAAAGACTGGTCAAAAAGCTACGCCATGAGAAGGAGGAGAAAGAATGCATTAACAAATCATAAAGCGTATCCATGTACTGTAATAATGCGCACTCCGCTCCCGCTTACTACCTTCCTTCTCCTTGTCCTTACAATTACATCGCCTAT